TGTTTAGTAGTATTTCGAGCCAAAACGAGTCAAACACGAACGAACAAATATTTGTTCATGTTGTAATGTTTATTTTTGAAGTATTTTTTGTATTTTTACTCAATTAATTAAATTTTTTTATAAATTACATTATAAAAAAAGATATTACATAATGATCCCAACAAAATTACACACATATTCAGCACATTTAAATCAAAACCAGCGATGGCTGCTTAATGTACTTTAATCACTGAAAGTGACTTGCATTTTTTTTTTAAAGTTTTCATTGATATTTTTTCAAGTTAAAAGCCATCAACCCCTCAATGACCTCAATAAGTATTCTCTCTCACATTCCATCTCTTTACAATGCTGCGTTTCTTCGAGCCGGACGCAAATACCAGATGGCTGGCTCCCAACCCTCCGCCGCCGCCGCAGCGCACCACCAGCTCCGCCGTGCCGGCGGAGTATCCGGCGTTGACCGCTCGCCGGACCTCTTCTCTTCCGGCGACCGTTAATCTCGTGAAGGACAGATGGCATCCCTCGCACTCCGTGTGAGTTTCTCGTCAACAAAATTTAATTTTTACCGATTTGGAAGATGATTTAGCATGTTTAGAATATAACCTCATTTCAAATTACAAATTTTTGTGTGGTTTATTAGAAAAAATGCCTTCAGCGGCTGCGGTGGTGGTGATGGTGGCGGGGGGAACTCTTGGCAGGATTCCGGCGTTTTCCGCCGCCAAGCCTGCACGGATCCATTTCTTGAAAAACTTCAAGGTTTATTAAATTTCATAACTTTTTTTTCTTTTTTATTTAATTTCTTATATGTCAATGTTATGTTTTTATTATTAATCAGTTGATAATGATAATTTCATAGGTGGAAGAAGCTCATCAATGGCGGCAGAAAACAGAGGGAAATCGAACCGGCATGTAAGAAGTAATAATGAAAAAAAAAAAAAACTATTTTTTTGGGTTAAATATATGTGATTCTATGAAGATTAATAAAGAAAGGCGATGCTTTTATATATAGGAGGAGATGATGGAAGATTGGAGGAAGCGAGGAAGCACAGTTCATGAAGAAGAGAGCAAGAAAATGGGAGATCACAAAAGACAGAAAATCAATGGTGATGAGAACCTATTTTTTCTACCATCATTTGATCCAGTAATTTCTTCTTCTTCGAGGATGAGAGCGACGATCAGCCAGACAGTAAAAGTAATTAATTAGAAAATTATTTTTACTTGATTTATATATTCATATATATATGTATATATATGTTTGATTATCTCTGTGTTATATCCTTGCATTAAAAAATACTTTGAATTCAGGAACCAGTGAAGAACCAGAAGCTTGGGGATAAGATCACTGCTCTTCAACAGCTGGTTTCACCCTTTGGAAAAGTATGAAAATCTCATGCATATATATATATATATATATATATATATATATATATATATAGCTTGATTTTCATGATATCAATTTCTTAAATTTTATTTTTTTCTCTTAGCTAATAAGACAAAATTAGAATTTTGAAGAGAAAGTTATGGTGTAAAATTATTAATTTACGTAAATTATATACAAAATTATTAAAATTAATTGTTTGTACAGAAAATTTATGAATTTTAAGGGAGTAATTGCTCACCTTAGACATAACCTAGTTTTGCTGATTACAGACGGATACTGCATCAGTACTTCAGGAGGCCACCATTTACATCAAGGCACTTCACGAACAGATAAATGTAAGATATATAATAATGAATATTTTTCTTACTTAGTTTAAATACGCAAGAATTTTCGATTTTTACATGACAAAACCATATAAAATAATTCAGTTTCAGATATTGAGCAGACGTCGTTTTGAAACAAGCTCTTCAGGCAATAATATTCAGGTACAAATATCAGCTTCAATTGTATTTTTATGAGAAAATGGACTTTTTTTGTAAGGTTTTATTGTTATGATTCGTAAGTATCGTTTAATTTTGTAAACATCATTAGTTTTGTCTTTAGAAGAAAAAATTATTCCATACGGACGGCGTATTCGTCCGATCTCTGACATTGATCAAAGCTTCCATCAATTTTTTTTTTCAAAAAAAATTGGGAACAAAGAAATACAACTTTGCTCTGACCAACGTTGGAGATCGGACGGTACATGCATTTCTGCATACGCCGTCCGTATGGAATAATTTTTTACTTTAGAAGGTGATAAAAGCAACTTGAACTAATTTATTACAACTGAAGCTTTATTAATTGCCCCCATTCTTTGATTATTTTGAAATGGTCTAGCAATTAGAAAGTCTCTTGTTTGGCCCTTCTCATGAATTAATTTTTGCAACAAAATTATGAAACGAAATAAATTTGTTTTAGGGGCATTTGCATGCATATATACCTCCCAATTCCTTTAGATTTATGCATTTCAAATTTTCATATGGTTAAAAAAATGCAACTATTTTAACATTTAATATAGAGTAGCAGGAAGAAGAAGAAACTATAAAAAATAGTGAAATGCCTAATATTTTGCGACGAAATAACCTCTATTTATAGACATAAGAGTATGAATGTTACAATTATATATTTGCCCCATAGTCATTAGCTTTTGGAGGCTGCTTTAGTAAATTACATGTAAAACATAAAAGGATATTATATTAGGTTGCCCGACTGATACCGATATAGAAGTTTAGGGGTTATGCGTCGGTAACCGATAGACAATGTGTCGGTATTCGATCAGTCGTCTCAGATCACATCGACAGTTCGGGCAATCTTTGAATGACCTCCAGTCCTTCGATTTAATGACCGTGTAAATGATTCTGTGTATGATCAATCATTCGATCTTCCAACGATCGTGCACTCCTCTTTGATCATTGTTCTTTCTGAGATTCATTCCTTGTTGTTCAGACGATCGTTCGACCCTTTACTAACCTGCTTCTATTCTAGCAGTCAGGTTGCTTTGAGGTTTGTGCCGTCATATTTCACATAAAGTAAATAAATAGGAATTGAGTAATTTGTAGGTAAATCTTATCTCTTTTTTTTTTTTTCTCGATGAGTTTGAAGAGGGTCATCCATCCTCATTGTCCCTTTCACATGCTTTATATAATTTGTAAATTGTTAGGGAGTGTGAGGCAAATGGGACAATAATTAAACTGCATAAATAAGTATGTCAATTTTTTTAAAGTTAAAAACAATAGAGAAATTAGAATTATTTTTGCAAAAGCCTACAACTTAATTTTTTATATCGATCATTAGTCGTCGCTTCTATTTAACCTAATTCAATTTTTTAAATGCCATTGATTTGGTATTAATCACAAAGAGCCACACCATTAAAGACAACATGAAATTTATAATTTTGCTATTTATACGTCATAAGTTTCTTTTATTTATAGAATGAATTATGAATAACCCCTCCCCATTGACGTATGAAGATTTGTGCCGAACCACGTAAGATAGGACATCATGTTTGATTATATGTTTGTTATATGATTTTATTTTTCGTATTTTTTGCACAACGAACACAAAATGTCGTTTTAATCATAGAGTTTAGAAATAAGTCAGATAAGTCCTTGATATTTTTTAATAGAAGTTAAAATTGTCATCCATGTGTACTAATTCAGCTCATATTAAACATATATGGGGATTAAATTGATATTTTTGTATACTCCACAACTAAAATGGCCTATTTTATGAATTATTAATTTGGCTCATTTTTCATAAATTAGTGACTAATTAAAATAAATTGGAAAAAGGTATATCTTTATCTGTGTGTGTGTGTGTGTCTGCCGCGTATTCCTGCCTGTTGGTTAACATCATAGTATAAGACCCTTCAATTTTGGGGTTCGAATCTCCTCTGACATAACTGACCTTAAGCAGACGATACTTGAATTGTTAGGCCCATTAAAGATGGCTGGAGACTGTATAATTGCTTATTGTCATCCTTTTTTTCTTTTATATATATATATATATATATATATATATATATAATATATATATGTGTGTGTGGATACTTATCGATACTTAAATGTGTTTTTTATTTTAAAAATAATGTTTGTAGGGGAATGTAGATGTTGGGCGATCAAGATTGTACGAGTGGGGGCTTTGCATCATCCCGGTCTCTTCGGCGGTGGCCAACTTTGCAAATCAAGAATGTCCGGATCATCCCATGAGAGAATTAATGAATCAACTTAATTGATCATTGCAATAGATTTTTTATTACAAAAATATCATTTAATGAACAAATTTATCAATTTCACACGACCACATGTTAATATATATTAGCTTAGAGCTTGAGGGTCTTTTCTTTTTTAATTTTTGATATTAATGATATGCATCACACTAATAAAGTGGATGTATCCTACAAAGCACTCAAAATTTTATATTTTGTATATTCACATCTAAATTTTACTACATAATAAATTTTAGCACTTACGTTTAAAGTATGAAAAATATTACAGTACTCACAAAAAAAAAAAAAAACTCTTCTTTGTTTTTTCGTTAAAATAGCTCGGATTTATTTTTATTTTGGTTGAAAAATATGTATCAAATCTTGTTCGGAAACTACTTTTTAATAGAAAGCAGAGTTTCATTGGTTGGAGATGTTGGCTATCGAGGAGGGAGCTTCATATGCCAAAGATTTTTATCTCGCACGTAGGCGAGATCGTATTCGTGACCTCACGGTTTTACAAACTTTTTCGACTAAACAGTCACGGGAGACGGCACACGCATACAAATATATCTATTTATCTATCAGTGTGTGTATAGAGAGAGAAGTAGGCTTTTAATCAGCTAAAATTTTTAAAGCTTAAATAAATACAAGTAAATAAAAAATTTACTGGTAAAAAAATGCCTAATATTCGGGGTTTCCAATGTTAAATGAGCTGGAAGCAGAAATGCATGCAAGATCACCATTTGGAAATTTGTTCAGGTCATTAATTTAATTACAATTTAATTACAATTTAATTACAATTTAATTAAAACTAACATTTATTTTGTGTATTTAATTAGCGAATATCGTTCTCGCTGCCATCTGGAACCCCACATATCCATACTTAGCTGAAGGCATAACAAATATATATATGTTGAAGTCAAGAGTTGTTGGGGGATGAGATGGATAGCTGAGACAGAGCGGAGAAAGTGTTTTATTCTCTTCTTTATAGATGTCCCTCGGTGGAGAAAAAAAGGGCCATCCATGACATTCACTTTTTCCATTTTAGAGACATTTTATCATAAAATAAAATGAGTAATAATTAAATTGAGAGGATAATAAGTTGGAGATAATATGTTTTATATTTATCCTTTTCGTATTTTTTTGTGTCACACTTCTCGTGAGCCGAGTGAAATGGGTTTGGAGGGAGCTGGATGGAGAGGGCTGAGATAATGTTTTGAGCAAGAAACATTCAAACTTCAATTAAGAGTCATCTAGAGCTCCAATTTCAGTAAGCTTATTGTCAAACTAATCGACTCGATGAGGCGAACCTAATGATACCAAAATTGATCCAATACAAGTCAAATTAAACTCAAATCAAGTCATTAAAACATATTTGGAAGGTTTCCAAGCATACTTGAGAGGTCAAATAAATATTAGATGTGACGAGCTTAAAGTCGAATCTTGCGTCTTGACAAGTTAAATCCAACGAGCCTAAAATCAATCAATTCTGACATCGTCAAGCCACTCAAATATCCACCAAACAACGTATGATCAAATAAAGCTTTTATGTCCGTCCGATCAAAGTTCATATTCCAACATTAATTGCACATAAAAATCTATTAATAGAGTACCACCGCTCTAATGAGGAGGGAAGGAGGGAGCTTAATACCTGAGGAGGCGCTTGAAGTTTTGAGAAGGAGCTGAGGTCCAGCATCACTTTTGCCGTCGTCGAATGTCGTTAACCACCACTGACCGTCATCAACCACAGTTGATCCCGATTAATCTTCGCAGACCAACGCCGACTACCACTTGATGGTTGTCGTTGATCACCATCAGCCGCCCACTTCTTACGACAAGTTCATTCGTGCATCGTCGTTGTAACTCCAAAGAGTGTTCAACTCTTTTCTCACTTGTGAAACGAGATATTGTACATGTAATATCCATTATATAGTGGATTTATTCAGTCGGGCTAGGCCTCTTGATTTGTTCCCTTTATGAGTTTTTCATGTAAGAACTTCAGGTATCTTCACTATTTGTTGTTTTTTTTTAATCTGAGCACATGCTGAATTCTCGTGCACCCTGAGACAATAATCCATTACATTACCACCGCAAGTTTTCTAACAAGCATTAGTTTGGCATCTTCTATGGGAAGAGCATTTTCATCACTAAAGTACTTGCACGAATTGTTGCATAGCCACCATGCACAATACTCACAAATAACGAAGCATCCTGCTTCAACACCTATCTTTCTAGAAGAAAGGCACGAAGCTTAGGACATCGGGCCTCTGCATACTTCTACTTCGTAAGACATTACCCCTCCGACAAAGGTGTCTTAGGTCATTCTGTCGAAGACCTAGTACATAGGATGGAGGAGTCTCAACAATATATTCTTCACCCCCTATGTGGGGAGCGACAACCACAATCGAATGAAGCTTACTTATCCCTAGTTCAACATTCAACAGGAAACACCCCACTCTCCGGCTTCTCTCCTAATGATGAAAACATTCCCCTGTCGAGATGGATATTAATATTCTCAACATTACAAGTTCCACTCATCCATCTGATGTAGCTCACCTGACACCATTTAGCCTTACTGTCATTTTTGTTGATATCATTTGTGATGAGCTATGACACATGGTTCAGGAAGAGTTCCCTTTAGATAAAAGGGATCACTTCCTCACTCATGATACCTTTCAATAATCTTCTCCTTTGGTTGACACGGTTCTCCGACATTCTATCCCAACAGGCTTCAAACTCTCGAGTATTGATGCTTAAGAATGGGTAATTGACCCATACGAACACGTCGACCACTATCAAACTATCTTGCGCATTCACCGTGCCTCTGATGTGCTTCTCTGTTAATCGTTCCTCGTGACTCTCAAGGTCAAGCTCGCACATGGTTCTAATTCCTCCCAAGGGCATCATCAATACCTTTAATGAGTTTGTCAGACTATTTATAGAGCAATTCATAGCAAATAGAAGGATCATCAAAGATTCATCTTACTTTTTGGGAGTTCGTCAGAATGAGGGGAAATCCATCAAGGAATACTTCCACAGGTTCTCCACTGAAGCTCTACAGATTATTGGAGTGGATTCAGAGTTATTGAGATGAGTCTTTCTTAGAGGGCTCTGCTTAGGATTTTTCTACTCATTATTGATGCGGGAGACGATTAGCTCTTATGCCGATCTTGTCCATCATGTTGAAGATCAAATCTCTGTAGATGAGGCCATCAGTGCATATAAGGAGCAATTCAAGCAATTGGGGGGCAAGCACAAGAATAACATCAGAAATATTGATTACTCTCACAATGAAAAATGTTTGAACCGCAAAGGAATCATGAGCATCGATCACAAAAAGAATATACAACACTCAACACGTCACGTTTCAACATTCTATTGACCATCAAGGATGAAAAGGTTTTCAAGTGGCCAAGGCCATTAAAATTTTCAGATGGTGGGTGAAAGAACATTTAATAGGAAAATGTTTTCAATTAAAGAATAAGATTGAACGACTGATATGTCGATGTAATCTAAGTCGATACATATAAGAGCGAGGTGATGAGGACTAAAAGAAAATCATCAGGGTTATTGAATGAGAAGTAGAACTCTAAATTATCTTATTTGAGTACAGGATTGACATATAAACTTCTAATTTTATTTTTCATATTACTTCGAAAAATTATCTTTCAGTGAAATTTTTCTTATTCTCTCACGAAATACTCTCACGAAATATTTTTTTTTTTTTGTGTAGAATGTCCCCTTGAGAGCAAGTAGCAGACATGATCCCCATCCTTACCCATGGACGTCAAACCCAAGAGGAATATTCGATGAAAAGATTCGGTATCCCTAGAACTTGAGGCTAAGAGGCAAGACTCAATAGGAAGCTACCATAACATTGAAAGTCATGCCCAAGAGGTAGACTTAATGGGAATATACGGTACCCCTAGAAGTCCATCTTGAGAGGTGAAACTCAATGAGAAACTATTATGCCCCTATAATTCAATCCCAATAAGAAAAACTTGATGGAATGATACGGTGCCCCCAGAAGTCGAGCCCAAAAGTCAAAATTCGATGAGAAGCTACCATGCCCCTAGAAGTTAAGCCCAACATCCAAAACTTGATATGATGATATAATACCCCTGAAAGTCGAGTCTAAGAGGCAAAACTCGATGAGATTATACAATGCTCCTAGAATATGCGCTCAATACGCATGTATGAATGAGAAGCCAGTAGTGGAAAGGGTTCTTACTAGAAAGACTCCAAGAGAACAAGTGTTTACAGGTCTCCACTCAAAGGTCTCAGAAGAAATAAGCCTCAGGAAACATAGGTACATTAAAGACCTCAAAAGACAACAAGCCTCAGAAGGTACAAATACATCAAAGACTTCATAAGGCTACGAGCCTTAGAAAGCACCGATGCATTTTAAGCTCCTAGAAGACATAAGCCTGAGAAGACACAAGTCTTTGAAGATACATGCCTAAGTTTCGATTCCAAAAAAATTAAATTTCAAGTTCCATTTAGTTCTCCCACTCATGGAAGAATTAATGAGTTTTTGTTAGAAGTTTCATTTGTTTTAAAGATTATTATTTTTTTCAATTTTTTTATGAAATTTTCTGATTTTATTAGGTATAGAACACCCTAAGGGACTTACATCTTGCTTAGTTTAGAATGTTTTCAAATTTACTCATTTAGATAGTTTGAAATTTCTTCCAATTGAATTAGGTATAGGACACCTAAGAGAAAATTACTCATTTCCTAATAAAAATCAAATTAAAATTTTTCATTTTTTAACTTTTTTTTTGTAATCTAGTGCGAACAACAGAAGTTCCATAATTCAAATTAAGATGTCAATATTTTCAAGACATTTAAATACTATCTCGTTTAAAAGTAAACAAGATGTATAAAACATTCTTGCATTCAATTATAATAAATTTTGTTCCTTCAATAAAAAATATAAATTATAAATTTTATCAAAATTAATAATGAAACATTGTAAAATAACTTACTATGATAATAACATTCATAAAATATTCATGAAACAAACATATATACAAAGACACTGAGATACAAAGATTGAATAATCATCATCAGTCTGGAAATTCTTCAAAGTTTGAGAGGAATGATATTTGGCAATTCAAAGCTTGGACTGCAGTTGTACATGCGCTTAAACTTTCTGAAATCTAAATTTGAAACTTATAAATCTTCAACTCTTCTGTTACTGAGGAAATCATTATCATTTAGGCTATCATTAAGCATGTATTCCACTTTTAAAAATTTTGTCATGATAATCTATCCACTCAAATTTTACCTCCTTTTAAGTTAATCTAAACAAAAGCATAACAAGTTGAGAAAAACCCCGACAAAACTCCTGTAATAGTTTGTAAGACCTATGAAACTCTTGATTTCTGTGAAAGTAGTTGGTCTGAGCCAAGCAATTATTGCTATAACCTTATTTTGATCTACTAAAATATACTTATTATTGATGACATGTCTCAACAGTGATGTGCTCTTAGACGAAAATTCACACTTTAGATAACTTAGCATATAACTTATTTTTCTTCAGTGCCTACAAAATTATGTACAGATGATATGCATGATTAGCTTCATCGCTTGCATATATTAGAACATCACTTACGAAGACAATTACCAATCTATCTATAAATGATTTAAAATTTATCTCGTTCATGATATTTATAAAAAAATTTGGCTTTCCAAGGTGATGTACTTGGCCTGATAAAATCTTTCTCCAACAATCTTGTAATTGAATCTTTAGTTATTGCAATTTTTTTTTTCATGACGTATGGTTATATTTGCTACTGATTCTTCATTATGTATCAAGTCAATAACAAAATTTATCTAACTTAAATCATCTAAACAGACTTTCATATATTCTTTTACTATTGGTGTATCTTTCAACTTATTCGACTTTTTTGTGACATCACTGACCTAAGCTAGAAAATCATGGTAATATTTTGCTAATATCTTAAAGGCTTTCACATTTTATACAATATGCAAAATGAATAATTTTGTGGTCGGATTGGTGTAGCTCCAACGGTGAACAAGATTATAGAGAGTCATATTAAATGATTTGGTCACATTAAACCTCGATCATCTGATGATTATATTAGGAGAGTAGATGTTTTAGATTTGACTTATGTTAAGATAGATAGAGGTACACTTATAATGATTGAGAAAAATTATATAAAAAATGATTTTAGTCTATTAAAATTAAATGAAACATAACACAATAGTATACAAGGAAGAAAACGATTTATGTACCCAAAAATAATAACTTATTGTTGTTGTTGCCGCTTCTTGTTTGGCTCTGTTCCCCTTTCCTCCTTTGACTATGTTCACCTTTCCTCTTGAAACTTTCGTTTCGGTAGAAAGAATCGGCTTCCGGTCTCACCCTCAATATATCAAAGAGCGGCATTACACGTGTCCGTCACACCGACAAGTGACCGTCAATTTGCAGTCACCGGACCGGGCTGCTCCGATCTCTATATAGCGCTTCGGTGCCCCCTTTCCCGGCGGCAGCGTGTCGTCGTCTTCGAACTCTCTCGAAGCAATTCCTTCACGCCTTCACTAAGATTTTATACGGCAAAGCGATAACGTTTGGGTTTGTTGGCGATCTCAATCTCCATCTCGATCTCTACCGGCGCCGATGATGCCTTCGGTGCTCGGAGAAATTCTCCTCCGACGAGCAATGATGATCTCATCGCCCACTTCCTTACATGGTGGATCGTGCTCTCATCGCCTGAAAAAACTCGAAAAGTGGAATCGTCGTAGTAATTTGAGTTGACAATAAGTGCGGCTAATGACAGTAGAGTCCTTCTAGGGTTAAGTTACGCTTGTTGGTTTTCGTGCTCATCTTCTTCTTCTTGCGACGTTCTCCACTTCCATTTGGACGGATCGTCATCCAGAGGCTTTGGACTACAGTTCGTCATCTGGAGGCTCTAAAACATAGCTTTGCCTCATTTGGGTTGGGGTTCTGAAGGTGTTGGAATTGTTTCTGTCGGGGGTTGCTTGTTTGTCCAGATCTGGTTTTATTTTCAAGTTTTTGGTGTGATTTCCTCTTGCAATCAGAGGTAATGATGGTGGTAATATGTTTTTCTTATGTTCACTGGCTATACCACTAGTTCTTTATTTCTCTTGCATTAGTTAACTCTGTTGTCAGCATAGGTTGTGCGATATGGATTTTCTGGGGGAGCTTTGGCTTCTTATCTGTTGTCCACTCTTTTCAAACTTTTCTACTTGAAATCAGTTTTTTTCTGTTTGCAGTGTTACGTTTTTATGTATACTGTTGTCTCTGTCTCTCTGCTCGCCTTCGGCTTCAGACGAGTATATTATATAGCTGTTTGCCATGAATTCCTTACCTTGCTGCTAAGAAAGTTAGTTTGGAAAAAGGCGTATCCAATTAATTGTGTCTGAAACTTAATATTTGGTTCTAATAGACATATAGCAATGTAGCAAGCATATCCAGGTCATAAAACTGTAAATTCAAGCTCGCTTTGTAGGCAGGCAATATCAATTTTATGTTCACTTTTTGTTTCTAACGCAATGCACTGGCAGTTTTTTCATCTATAGCGCCTGGATGGAGGTACCACAGGCAGTCCATCCTTTTGCTAATTCAGTTTCTGAAGATTCTGGCTTTGAGTTAAATCTTCGTAGGCTTGGCTGCGAGATACCTTGCGCTGAAGATGATGAACAGTGCGCCTGCACCAATGTGTCAGAGAATGTTGTGAAGAAGGTGCAAAGGGCTTCTCACTGCCGCCCTTCTATAAAAAGAGATCGTTTTATTAATGGAGAAGTTGACGTTGATGAAATATTTCCTCTTCAAAGCTCCCACGAGCAACTTGCTCAACATAATCCAGCATCTGAGGTTTATAATTCTGAGGATATCAGTGCATGCAAGGAGTTGATTATTTCTGATTTCAGACAGAGTAAATGTTTGATTAAATCCGCGACTTTCCCATCCTCTGAAATAGAGTCGCAAACTGTCTTTTCTCCTGAGAAAGATGGGGAGTCATCTAGTACAGCTGCACCAGGTCACAATGCATCTGCAGATCAGCTTCCAGTATATAAGCGCTCGACTTCTCTCCCTGTAAGTTACATATCTTGATGACTACATATACAAGTTAAAATAAGGTGCTGAATGGAATGATTATGACTTCCTATTTTTCTTGTGATAACTTATTTGAGATTTAAGTTTCTCTTTCAAGGGTTTGATTGATGCGCTATCATATTTAATAATAAATGATAATGCTGGTTATGTAATGATTTGTTGATAAGATGTGAAGATGATAAAATTTAAATGCAGATCTCTATGTCAATTTTCCAATCTGACTAAACTAGACTGGTAATTCAAATTGTTTTTTCAATATTCCTATTAACTATAACATTTAAGTATATCAATCACCCAGAGGATATCTTTCCAAGCACATTGTCCGCATTTAGTTTGCATGGGCAACCAGAGGCGATGTGTTCATATTCATGACACATGAATCGCTTTTTGGTTGGAATTGTGTTGGGTGTGCTGCTCTTCTTGGACTTCTTCCCACTTTGATTTGCTTTGTTATCCATATGACCTTCTCTTTCCCCAAGTGTGCTTTGCCGATACCTCCAGCTGTGTGTGGCTCTGTCTGAATGGAGGTGGCTGCCTGCTCTGTCTCAGCCAAGGTTTGGACATCACCCAATGACCAATAAGGTTGAAGCTGGATATCATTGCTGGGTTGGCTTCATGCCTCTTAAATATATGGCTATAGTGTGCTCTTTTGGTTATGTCAGCTCACATTTCAACATGAACCGCTTAAACTTTATTGTGACAATTCTCTTTGTTGTAGGTGTTGAAGCTTTAAGAAAATATTCTGACGGTAATGTGGGAGTAAGTACTTCCTTTGCATCTTCTTCATCTCTTCCATGTGGTGATCTTGGTCCTACCATCTCTGTCTCCCCTTCTTCATATCCTCCCACCATAGAGACACTCTTCTTCAGTTTTATTATAGCAAGTTTCACTCTTCTATCAGCTGACACCTTGTACTAAAAAATTATATTATTGTTTGCAATCATTCAATGAACTCATTTGTATTCTTTTTCCCCTCAAAATCTGATAAATCCATCTTTACCCTCGTGTGTTTATGCCATCTAAAAGTTAGTTCATCCCTCTGCCTCCTCTGATATTAAATTCCAAAGCGTCGTAGTCTACCCTCTTCTTTATTGGAATCATCCATATGGAATGGATTTAGATTTTCCTCTCTCTCTCCTCTTTAAATCTCTATATCATGATCTATAACGATCTCTCCATGGGTCTCTTCCTCAATTTCAACAAGTTTTTGTTGAATTTGATGGATTTTTCATTGCATTTCTTCCATGGTAAGTTCTTGATCAGCTTACGGTACTTTTTTCCTCGGTGGCGTGGCTAGAGTATAGGTTTGAGAGGGAGCATGTGGTTGATTTAGGGTGCATAAAAAATTAGGATTGTTGATTTTAGAAATCAGCAAGGAGGAAGGGTTTTGGATGAAGTTTGAGTTAGGTATTGGTATGTAAGTAGGGTTAGACTAGCTCTGATATCAAATAATATTGCATTTAACAAACACCCCAGGGAAAATAAATATTATTAGAAGTCTGAAATCACAATGAAGGAAAATAAATATTATTAAAAGTCTGAAATCACAACAAACAGTAGGGAAATATGAAATTGCAAGAAAACGATTTCACAACACTTGAATTAGGGGTGGATCTAGGGTGTAAATGGTTCCAGTTTGGGTTTGGACATAAGTGCGGCGACAAGGGGGTGGATGGCAACCTGGAAACAGTCGTAGGAGGGCTGTTTTGGGCCGCAACAGCATATTGGGAGGGATTTGGCAAGGTGGCAGCAAGGGCAAAGCGATGAGGTTGAGGGAATCGATGCAAGAGAGAGTGGGAGAAAGGTAGAAGGGTATACACACCACCTGGAGACCAAGATATAGCCAGAGCATTGATTCAAGATGTAGCCGGAGCATCACTTTGAATCTTATGATATAACCCTGAAAATGGAGAAAGAGATGTTGATGACTGTCCCAAAGAAAGCATGAAAAAAAAAGAAACTAAACCATAAACACCAATAAAAGCAAATATATGTATTTTTTATAACTAGGAGTTGGCCGATCTTAAGAGGTGTCACTCTCGAGCCTGGACTGGTTAGGTCCAGTAAAAAAGGACGCTGTGCATCACTATTATCTGCTTAGAGTTAATTTATGAATAAGCATGTCATTCAATGATACACGAAACATATGATATTCACTACAAGTACTTGACGTACTCTTTGAATATAAGTTGGCTTTTGCGCTAAGACAAGTATATCCTTCTGGATGTGAATTTTCAAGAAGGGGGGGAGTGAAAGTAGAGAAAAGGTGTCAAAGAGACGGGAAAAAGGTTAAACTAGGCCTTTCCCCTGTTATTGTAGTTTTATTTATTTAAATCATTCCGTTCCACAATTTTCCAAGAAAAAATTGTGACCAGCATTAAATTTCAGCAAAATATTAAGTTCACACCAAAAAACCAAAAAAAAAAAAAAAGAAAAGAAAAAGAAAAGGATAGCATATATTTGTCAAAACTTTCAATCATTGCACAAAAGGAATGGCTAAATGGTTGTAGAGACATAAGAAGGGATAATTTTATGTCTTTCTCTTGTTGCAGAAATTTAGATATTTAAATGTATCCTAACTAGTTTATATTTATTATGGTCATTTGCTTCATTGTGAGAGGGAAAATGTGCTTTTATAGTTTGGAGCTGCGTGAACTACCGAAATAGTTCCCCAACTGTTCATCAATTTCAGGTCCAAGAGTCAAATTGTCAGATTAGTCCTCGTACTTTTTAAATTGTGGGTGAAATAGTCATCTGTAGAAACTGTTTAGAGTTAGGAAATTAACTTGACATTTTTTCTCATTTGGAGCGTGCCATGTTAATGCGATTATCAATTTAAATTTCTTATCTTAGGCTTCTTCCAAGCTTGTCTCTGCCATGAAAGGAGGCCGAAAACAGAACGGAACATCACCTAGGACAAATATGCGTGTCAAATGGGCTGAAGATGTCTATGTTCCACCTGCCACTTCTGTGTCACACACCGTGAAGAGCTACACCATCCAGCGAACCAAGTCCAAGAAAAAGGATAACCACAGGCAAAAGCACAACAAAGGGAAGAACTCACGTGGGAACGGCAGCGGGAAGAAGTTCCCGAATCGTGGAAATGTTGGCGTAATATCCTCATCTTTCTCTGCAAAGTATGCTTCCTTCTTATTTTGTCACTTTAAGCAAAATGGAGTAAAGTGTCAAGATAGTCCCTAACTGTTTACTTATAGGTCATTTTAGTTCCAGAGTGTGTGATAACCAATTTAACCAATTTAGTTCTAAGAATGTTCCAGAGTGTGTGATAACCAATTTAGTTCTAAGAATTTTTTTTTTTTTTTCATATAATATGAAATAAAGTAGTCTCTGCAGAGTGCAGAGGGCCATTTTTACCCCACTGGAGAGTAATTTGATTTTTTTATAGACTCTCGGATTAAAATGACCCCTGGAAATAGTCTGCGGATTATTCCAACACTTCACTCCAGCAAAATGCATTTTTTGCCATTTTTAAATCGAATGATTGATTTGTACTTCCAGGTTGCAGTCTGGTGGAGCTAATGGGTTGGCATCAAAGACTGAAGATATATTAGAGTTTGTCGGCGGTGGCGCTCATGATGCGAAGTGTGGGAGCGTCTTCCTTAGGGAGTCGCTTGCGAAGGTGCATCTTTCCTTTGGTGAGGCCACTTGATTAGGTGAGCCATTTGGGCTACTTTTCATGAGGAGTGAGTATGATTCAGTTAAATAACGAGAGAAGTTGTTTCTTTGTGTTGTTTATTTTGTTCTCCTGAATGTTTAATACATAGTGGACTACAATTTTTTTAATGTCATCACTTTGATGTGGTAGGTCTGCTTTTTCCTGATAACACTCCTGGTCTTTGTGGACGAAAATTCTTTTGTTTTTGTTTGTGAATATGATATTATGTGAGATATTTTCTGGTATATTTTGTTCTTATGGATGTAAATATGTTATTATATGTAGGGACCATTTGGTATCTTTCAGTTATGACAAATCTGAGTTGGTTACTGATGGATGGTAGTGATATGTTTATATTCAGTGGTGTTTAGTGCTTGTATTCGGCTTCAGTGGATGAACGAGCGACAATGATTTGTTTCTTTGCACATCATGAGATGAGATTGTGGCCAAGGAAAATACAGTAGCTGGTTGTTGATTTTCCTCTCTTCAGTGTCTCCTGCCCGTTCAGAATCTGTGAAAGTTTTGATGTGTAGTTTTGCGGATGGCTAGACTGAAGGTGATCATTCCTTTGAAGTAATGTAATGTTCTTTTGAGCAATTGGACGTGCTGGTTAGGGGTGCTGTGTGTATGTTGACGGAGTTTGTTCGCGGCAAAAGTTAGGTCTGGTTGAGTAAGTGTTAAGTATTGCTGAGAACCTGTGAGTTTTCTATAGAGATGTGGTTGAGAAAAGGTATCAAGCATTCATGGATAGCTGCAAGAACATATTTTTTAGGACATCAAACCAAAATGCATTCTTGAAGTTGCAAGCTTTAAATAGTTCAAATATATCAACATTTTAAGATGCCAAGCACAAGAAAATTTGTGGCAGAATGCTACATAAGAGCAAATAGTCACCTTTACAAGTTTACCCATCTGCCTCATGTCTGAGATTTTAAAAGACTTTTTTTAGCCAAGATGATTAAGTAGTATGGTCACAAACTGACACTTCAATGGGATAAAGAATCAAATTTAAATTCTATTAGGGTGTTATTTATAAAAAAAGTATACATGAAAAGTCAATTTTAAGGTCATGGACATGAAAATTATTTTGGAAAAATAATGCCATTTCAGTTAGGTTGGGATATAATTTTATACATTTTCTGTCCTTTGAACCAAAATTTTATTATGCATGATGTATTTTGAGCCATCTTTTTAAATGTTTATTTTTAAAATTCTAACAATTTACGTCCAACATTTTTGAGTGAATACTTCATCCAAATTACTTAATAGCTGAATGGATTTAAACTGGAGTCATTGTGAGATGTTCAATTTTAAAATAAAATTTCAAGAAAATATATGTAATGTATTTTGAAGTAATTTTTTAATTGGAATTTTTAAAAATAAATTCAGGATAATTTATATCCAAATTCTGTATACTTATAAACAAATTGCACATCTTAATAAGCCAAATCCAATAACACTAAAAAGAGATCCTATCCAAATCTAAACGAGCTCAAATCATATTATTGAATGAGGCTCAATTTTTGGCAAGGTTAAAGATCTCATCTTTTGATAATGATTGAATGATTTGTTATAAGGGAATCAAAATAGGTCATTTGATAAAGTATTTTGAGATTTTAACCAAAATAATCAAAGTATTAATGTAAATATAAATAAATGAGGCTCCATTCCCTAAGTATATGAAGAATTCTAAACATTTTCATGACGACTGGCACCTATTATTATTATTGTTTAATCAAAGTTGTACGATCATTTTCTCCTGTATCATTATTTGAATGTCATCTCTTAAATACCATCATCTGATTATTGTATCTTAACCATCACTAGCTAATCATCAATTCTCAATCATTAGATTGCCTTAAACCTTTCATCTTTATTACTTCCCACTACTACCATAGTTTCATAAAAACATTTAAGTCCTCTCATTTTAGAATCTTTCCTCCTCCAATTATGAGAAAGAGCTAATTTTTATAAACTTACTCATAGTGGGTTATTTTAATTGGGTTCATTCTCATAATTTTTCTTGATTTTTTCATATACTTTTTTTTTTGTAATTTTTTTGTTATATTTTGATGCATCTTTTCGTATGTAGGAATTTTATCCAAGGATTGAAAACAAAACTTGAAATTAGTAAGCTTAAATACCTAAAGAACTCCAAACATCTTTTTGACAACTAACACCAATGACTATTGTCACTAATAATTATCATCATTTAACAATCTTCACCTATTCATCATTATCTGATTACTATTATTTAATTTCCATCATAAGACCATTGTTGCCCAAGTTTTATTGTTTGACTGTCATCTCTTTAACGTCATCACCTAATTAGAGTATCTTCACTATTGTCACCTAATCATCATCTCTTAATCTTGGTCACTCGATTTCCTTTAACCAACCATGAGCATCACTCTGCACTGTTATTATTGTTTCATAAAGCCAATCAATACTCTCAATTTTATAATTTTATATTTTCCAATTATAAATAATAAATTTTTTATAATTTTATTTTTATAGTGGATTATTTTAATTGGGCTCGGTCTCATGAATTTTGTAAGGTTTATTGCATAAAGTTTTTTGTACTTTCTGTGCTCCTTTTATGCTACTATTTGTATGCAGAATTTTTAAGTAAAGATAGAACACAAAGTTCTCTTCATTGTCACAAATATTCTATCATGCAATAAAAATCAAGCAACACACATAGAGCAATAGATTATAATTTAAATAATTTGGCTTGAATAAGTCTATGTTTATTGAGAATGATAGACCATTAAAAAATATCCACACAAATGGTATACGCAATAATAAGAAATTTAGTCGATCTTACCAATTATTGAGCATCTCAAAAGAAGTTATAATATACATATTCAATTGCCATATAGAGTGCATATTATTATTATTTTTTTATTAAATGCACCTCAAAATCAAGATTAAAATGGATGTTGCATTGATCTCAAAAATTGAGAGAAATTTAGCCTCCCATGGTAGCTCTTGAGAGATATATGGGTTCTACGATGAACAATCAATAATTTTGAATTGTAAATTCCTTCCTAAGACCAATACTTCAAATTCTAACATCACTTAAAACATTATTTGTCAATTTAACACTTATAAATATCGAACTTCAATGTGATATAGGGACTGTGGAATAATGAGATAATAACTCCAAGCTCTGAACTCTAAACTATGAATCACCCTTATCCTTAAAACATTTTATTATATTACAAACACATGTATTGGCCTTTAAAGTATCAATAAGAAACACAAAGTCAAAATTGCCATTGTGGATGTATGTCATTCAACCAACCATTCCAACTTTTGCATATAAGGCCTTTGCTTGCTTTTTTTTTTTTTTTTTTAGTTTCTTAACCCCTATGTTATCCACATTTTTTGACATCTTGGGTGATCTCAATCTTATCTTTCACACCTAATTTTTATGAAAATAAAAGGAACTTTACAAAACTTGAGGTTCTCAACACACATCACTTAGAGTTTTCTTTACTATTAGACTCTTATTCATTCATGAACATTTTTAATTCCAACAAATGTTTTAAACATCATGAATATCATCATGCATCATAAACTTATGGTGCTAAAATCAGTTATCTAGCACTCATCTCTATTCTCAATGTAAATATAATCATTGCATAATTCATAAGAATAAAAAAACTTACCATACTAATATGTGCCAAAATCAGTTGAGTTAAAAAACCATTTTCATTTAACTAAAGTTCAACAATCAATAAAGTAAATTAATCTAATCCTTATATGACTAAATTGGCATTATATTCACATTTCATAACTTATCCTTTGCTATTGTTTACTTTATACTTTCCTCTAAAAGTTCTAGCAATCTCTCTTTATACACCATTTCTCCTGAAAATAGAAAAAAAATCTATTATTATTGATAAACCCCTTCTCCAATGATCTCATGTTACTACTGACAGGTGTACTTTGGGCATGAATTGGAACCCTCGGCAAGTTTTTTGAATGAAATATGATCAGTTTCCACATAAGTTGGACAAAAAATCATGCGAGGTGAGCAGTGTTCCAAGATGCAAGCTTAGTTCTCTGAAACCTTTGACTCACATCTATTTACATATTGAAACCCCCCAAATCTATGCATGAGACCCCTCATCTCACGAAGCATCGGTGGGATCTAATGTGTGCTAAGGGCCTTGTGTTAGGAAGTCAAAAGAACCACATTCGATAAATCTTTTCACCCTCTCCTATTTTTTTATTTTTTTATTGCCAAAATTTGAATAGATCAATTGGTGACACATTTTTTCAATAACAAATCAATAACAAAAAGGACAAGTGGAAATGCTAAGAGATCTTAAGCAATAAATATTTTATTTGAGTATTTTCATGAATTAAAAAAAAAAAAAGGCACTAGGGCATCCTACCTTTAAGTCTTATCATCTGAAATCGAGTCGAGAAACTTCGACCCCCTTAACAGTACAATGTTTAATTTAAACTCCAACTACGATTGTCATTTGAGGCTACTCGAAGTGCTATGGGCATATCATGAATTTACTTCTAATAAAAGTTAAATATACTTTTCATTTATAATTTTAACATATCAAAATAGTATGAATGTAAATATAAAAATTTATACGCGAGATATTTAAATAGATAAGAATTGTGTTCTAAATATATAAAATTTTATTTACTATAATTTTGATGAAATTTAATTACAATTTTTTTTTTAATAATGCCCTCCCTATAAGTGAGCTAGCGACCTTAACTGCGAAGAACTAGAGGATTAGGGTTTTAGGGCTTCCATCGGCGTGGAAATGGCGCTCTCTTCCTCGACAGCCCTCCGCAGGATACTACGGGGATCTTCATCACCATTCTACCAGCTGAAATTCACCTTCTTGCCCAGCCGTCAAAGCTCTACCTTTCCGCTGGATGAAGACAGCGGAAGCAAAGAACTTCCTCCGTTGTCCACCCCAAAGCTATTCGTCAGCGGTGAGTTCTAGGGCTTTCGCTCCTCGGTTTTTTGCTTGTTTAACTAGTGAAATAATCTGTTACGGGCTTTGGCTTCCTTCAGAATTTCTCTATAAAAGTGAAAACAATCCATTTTGCTGTGCATCTTTCCCATCTTCTCCTCGAGGGAGGGGAGAGAAGAAATAATAAGAGAAAGAGAAGTAATCAAAATAGGACAAAAAATGAAGATAAGGATTATCGTTTGACTTTCAGGGCCATGATATTTAGTGTTTACTGCCATCAACACCATATTTTTGGTTGCTCTATAAATAACTGGAAATTGTTAGATTTACCTGTTATTGTGATAGGAAAGTTAAATAGAGTATTAGTTCTAATCCTTTTGAATAGCTTTTTAGGGTGCTGGAAGGATTTAATATGGTTTAAAATCATGTTCATAGAAATCTTTGGAAAAATGTTAATCGGCATCTTTCAAATCCAAAAGAACTTCCAAGTTTAAAATTTTAAATTGGAAGTATATATATATATATTTGATCTTCAAATTTGACTAGGATTAGCGCACAACTCATTATCCTTCAAAGTATCCATCTAATAAAAATAAATCAACTGAAAAAATAACCAAATCAGTGCAAATAATTAAACTTCTCCACAGAGTATTTTGAACAATTAGAAAACTTGAACGAAAAATAGAGAACATGACCCTGTCTCTATAATGATCATCACGATAAGCATATTTGCACAAATAAACTAAAAGAAAACTTTTTAAATAAAATTTTTAATGTTGATGGGCATCTATTTTGCAATAAGAGGTTACCATGGAGACATTTGAAGTAAATTTTATGATTTACAATTGCATTATGATATATGAATAGGAGTGTTGGTTGAGTGTTTTAAAAATAATGAGAATGTAAAAAATGGATGTGGTGCCACTCAATATGAGACATAAAGACATAATCACATTAAAGAGATGATGGGAGCATTACTTATTGAAGATTTATCCTATCAACTTGTTGAAGTTAAGATGATGAAAAGTAAACTTGGGTGATTTGAAGTATATAATAGTGGATAGAAAATCCATCGATAAGACGAGCAAGACGAGCACAAAATATTTGTGTGAGATAATTTGAAATAAAAAATTGGTAGCTCAAATTTAACATTTCCAATACTTCTGTAAAGATATTTATGCAATATAGTCACAATATTTTGCAATTCTCAATGAATGAATTGATAATAAGGATTCATAAAGCTGGCTCTTTCAGGTTGTTGAAGCTAACAAACTAGTACGGAGTGCTAGAGCATCTCACCAATCTTTAGAGTGCTAGAGCAGCTCACCAATCTTTGGATGACGTTGCATAATGATCACCTACCTATGATTTCATGATGCGACATTCGTATTGTGAAATTGCAATCCTCTCCAGATCTGTTGCACGTGGCAAACACGTCAAGCACTGGTGGTATTCTAGGTGTCTTGAGAGGTTTATAGAAAAGAGGGAGAATGATTATATTTAGGGTTCAATTTTTTGGCCTTGGGATCAAGTACTTGAGAGAGCTATAACTATGGTATTTGATTTCACTTACCTATCTTCATTTTTTTCTTCCTAACTATAGCTATAATTAGGACTTGTGCGTTTCTTCAGTTAATTCAGGTGAAGGCCGTCAAACCACTCATATTCAAGTGATTTATCCTATCAACTTGTTGAAGTTAAGATGATGAAAAGTAAACTTGGGTGATTTGAAGTATATAATAGTGGATAGAAAATCCATCGATAAGACAAGCACAAAATATTTGTGTGAGATAATTTGAAATAAAAAAATTGGTAGATCAAACTTCCAATACTTCTGTAAAAATATTTATGCAATATAGTCAAAACATTTTGCAACTCTCAATGAATGAATTGATAATAAGGATTCATAAAGCTGGCTCTTTCAGGTTGTTGAAGCTAACCAACTAGTACGGAGTGCTAGAGCAGCTCACCAATCTTTGGATGACGTGTCATAATGATAACCTACCTATGATTTCATGATGCGACATTCGTATTTTGAAATTGCAATCCTCTCCATGATCTCTTGCACGTGGCAAACACGTCAAGCATGGTGGTATTCTAGGTGCCTTGAGAGGTTTATAGAAAAGAGGGAGAATGATTTTATTTAGGGTTCAATTTTTTGGCCTTGGGATCAAGTACTTAAGAGCTATAACTATGATATTTGATTTCACTTTACCTATCTTCATTTTTTTCTTCCTAACTATAGCTATAATTAGGACTAGTGCGTTTCTTCAGTTAATGCAGGTGAAGGCCGTCAAACCACTCATATTCAAGTTGATTTATCCTATCAACTTGTTGAAGTTAAGATGATGAAAAGTAAACTTGGGTGATTTGAGGTATATAATAGTGGATAGAAAGTCCATCGATAAGACAAGCACAAAATATTTGTGTGAGATAATTTGAAATAAAAAATTGGTAGATCAAATTTAACACTTCCAATATTTCTGTAAAGATATTTATGCAATATAGTCACAATATTTTGCAATTCTCAATGAATGAATTGATAATAAGGATTCATAAAGCTGGCTCTTTCAGGTTGTTGAAGCTAACCAACTAGTACGGAGTGCTAGAGCAGCTCACCAATCTTTGGATGACGTGTCATAATGATAACCTACCTATGATTTCATGATGCGACATTCGTATTTTGAAATTGCAATCCTCTCCATGATCTCTTGCACGTGGCAAACACGTCAAGCATGGTGGTATTCTAGGTGCCTTGAGAGGTTTATAGAAAAGAGGGAGAATGATTTTATTTAGGGTTCAATTTTTTGGCCTTGGGATCAAGTACTTAAGAGCTATAACTATGATATTTGATTTCACTTTACCTATCTTCATTTTTTTCTTCCTAACTATAGCTATAATTAGGACTAGTGCGTTTCTTCAGTTAATGCAGGTGAAGGCCGTCAAACCACTCATATTCAAGTTGATTTATCCTATCAACTTGTTGAAGTTAAGATGATGAAAAGTAAACTTGGGTGATTTGAGGTATATAATAGTGGATAGAAAGTCCATCGATAAGACAAGCACAAAATATTTGTGTGAGATAATTTGAAATAAAAAATTGGTAGATCAAATTTAACACTTCCAATATTTCTGTAAAGATATTTATGCAATATAGTCACAATATTTTGCAATTCTCAATGAATGAATTGATAATAAGGATTCATAAAGCTGGCTCTTTCAGGTTGTTGTAGCTCACCAACTAGTACGGAGTGCTAGAGCAGCTCACCAATCTTTGGATGACGTGTCATAATGATCACCTACCTATGATTTCATGATGCGACATTCGTATTTTGAAATTGCAATCCTCTCCATGATCTCCTGCACGCGGCAAACACGTCAAGCACTGGCGGTATTCTAGGTGTCTTGAGAGGTTTATGGAAAAGAGGGAGAATGATTATATTTAGGGTTCAATTTTTTGGCCTTGGGATCAAGTACTTGAGAGAGCTATAACTATGATATTTGATTTCACTTTACCTATCTTCATTTTTTTCTTCCTAACTATAGCTATAATTAGGATTAGTGCGTTTCTTCAGTTAATGTAGGTGAAGGCCGTCAAACCACTCATATTCAAGTGATTTATCCTATTAAACACACACCCCCACCCCTACCCCCAAAGTAAGGAAAAACCTTATTTACAAATAAAAAATTAGATAACTTATAGCTAAATGATAATTGCAAAATAAATTATCCAAAATAACTTAAACTTACTAAAAATAAACATATCAAAATAATTATAAAAAATGCACTCGTACTTACTCTACGAGGCCTTTATATCTCTCATATGATCATGCCTATGGATTTCTAGCAGCGTTTTCTTCGATCTAAACAATGTGATATGAGATGCACAACTATCAACAATCTTCATTAAGAAATTGGATTGTTAAAGTTAAAAAATTACTATCCTATTATCTACCCTTGATTTGGTGCTTAAACTATGATAATAGATAATATGATTAGATTTAATATCACACATCAAGTCCGAAAGACGGTACACATCGACAATGCAGAGCATGATGAAATGAATTAATTTTTTTTTGTATTTTCAAAAGTCAAATTTGTATGTAAATAATAGCATGAATAAACATAAAAGTATAAATTTTATTCGATAATTAATAGTCCCTTGATACAACGGAAAAAGAAATAGAAAATTGATCGAATCAAAACTAAAATGACAACCATAAACAATTATCCAGACAAAAAAAAAAAGATGAAACATTTATTGAGAAAAATACCAAAACAGGAAATCTAAAATTGCCAAGCCTGTTCCGGCGGAGTTGGCTTTGCTGGTAGCTAAATAGAACGTATTATGCAAAATATAAATGAGTTTGACAGGGAAAGTCATTAAATAATAATTTAATATTAAATCATAAACAATAAGAAAAATGAGACAGCAGTATAAATAAAAAATATGGATGATTATTATGTGCATATATAACATCATAAAATAATAAGAGAATGATAACCATAAAGTTTATTTAGTTATCATAAGAAAACATGCAATCGTTTTTTATTTATTATTAATATAGTTGATTTTAACAGATACTTCAAAACCTGAAAGGTCAATATAAACCTAAGAAATCTTGTCTATTTTCGGTAGATTCGTTATTTTGTGAGCATGTTGATCTGATAAATTAATATTCAAAAAGGTTTCAGCGACTTACATGTCATCACTCATAATCATATTAAAATTTTCACAAATATGATATGTAAGAAACATGCTATTTCATACAGACTTGCGACATGACATATGTAAATTCATACAAGTGTATAAAAAGAACTATTATAATTGCAGAATTAATTTAATTTTATTTGTGCATGAAATTTTGCAATAACAAATTAAGGCAAGTGGTTACTTTTGTTATGAGCAATAAATGAAACATATATAAAAATATGAAGTAACAAGAGCATGATTGACTAATGTATTAAATAATTAAGAATATACTACGAATAACAAAGATTAGTGACCATAACTAGGAA